TGGGCAGGTGTTTCAGTGGTAGAGCGCTTGCCTTGCATGCATGAGGCCCTGGGTTTGATTCCTCAGCACGACATAAGAAAAAAAGAAAAAAGCCGGAAGTGGCGCTGTGGCTCAAGTGGTAGAGCGCTAGCCTTGAGCTGAAGAGCTGAGGGACAGCGCCCAGAGTTCAGGCCCCATGACTGGACCCCCCCAAAAAAAGAAATTAAGAAGAAAGTGAATAAATATATCCACAGTCAACATGCAATGAGCAATAGAGAAGAGTCTACAGGCAATGCCAGCCTCCCTGAAGTAAGGTCTACTAAGTTCCTTGTGCACAGATAAATAGCCCTTCTCCTAAGCCTCCACCACTGGCTGGGTTCTAGGTTTAGCCCACAGAGGACTGTGGCTCACTCTTGAATATTTACAATGGGTTTGACCTATCATGAATGACCTAGTCTGTCTGAGATCCTCTGAACTCTCATTTATGGAAGATGATCAGAAAAACAGGTAAAAAAGATAAAGATACTATGGCATTGGTCAAAACCACCAAGATAGCAATCACTGTACAGAAAAATGAAACAAAATACTGACCCAATCATCTAATAGATGAGAACAGACAATCCAGTTCAAGGTAACAGGAAAAATACAAAAAAGATCCATAGAGATGTTAATAGATAAAACTTAATGTAATTCCGAAACCAGTGATAGAGCCCAGATCAATGACAAGTTTAAGCCAATAGTGGCTTCAAGTTTAGATAACATTGACATGATGAGCCCCACACCTACATGAATTTCACCCTTCAGTTATCATGGATTTGTACCAGGTGTTATCAAGCGGTATATCCCATTGTTCGGACATGAGAATCATCCAAGTGCCTTAGAAAAACATGGACACTTGCAACCCATCCTTAGCTGGGTTTAATTGGCATGAAATGGACATCACAATTTATTCCTATATTCATTTTATTTTATTAATTTACTTATTTATTGTGGTGCTAGGGAATAATCCTAAGAATGTGTGCATGCTAGGCAAACTCCCAACTGCAGAGCTACATTCCCAGTCCAAATTCCTATTTCAAATAGGTGAACGTTATAATATGCTACCACTACACTGAGACTTATTGCTAGAGGACATAGAATGTAACTGTCATTGCCTTTTGAGACTGATCATTTCCAGATAGGCTTTCCTTCCCTGGATAGTTCCTAACAGAGAATTTCTCAGTCATGTGATTTCAGATATGCATTAGTATTTCTTCTAGCAAAGCAGATTCTTCTCAGAGTTTTGGGAGCCTATTTAATATACATGCATACTATATATATATACTGGACCTAGGGCTTGAACCTGAGTTTGAACTCAGGGCCTGAGCACTGTCTTTGAGCTTTGTGTGCTCAAGGCTAGCACTCTACCACTTTGAGCTGTGGCTCAAATAAGGAGTCTTGTAGACTTTCCTGCCCGGGCTGGCTTTGAACCATAATCCTCATCTCAGCTTCCTGAATAGCTAGGATTACTATGTAAATAACCAGCACCCATCTTATGTAATATATTTTAACCTGTACTTTTAGAATCCAAACAGGACTCCTGATATTCTGGATGATGTTGACAAAATTCAGGCCTACAAGAATGGCATCTCCAGTTATGGAGGCTTCCTTAGTAACAGACAAATATATATATATATTAAAGACACTGTTCAGAGGGGTTACAGTTACATGAGTAAGCTAATGAGTACATTCCTATCAAGCATTGTTACCCCCATCTTTGTTTTTCCCCTACCATCCCTTCACACCCCACCTCCCCCCCTCCTCCCTCCCCTCACCCTCAGTTGTAAAGTTCATTTTCAACATAGTGCCTGGTACATCTCATGTTACAATGGGTCAACCGTAACAGACAAGTTTTGCATAAAAAACTATATGGGTGGCTCATCAGGAGAACATATGGAAAGAATTAAAAACATAGCTTTGTCCAAGACTATATGGGCAAGAAATACCCTTATTTTTATCTTTCACTTAATTACCACTTCCCAAGATCTATGTTTCATGTATTTCATATGCAAGCTGAATACAGCCTGAAAGTTCCCAATCTCACTGTTTTTGTAAGCTAAAGCCATTAGGTTGGGGGAATCACAAATTTTGGTTTGGTTTGTTATTTTGAACATTGTTGTATCTCCCCTGCTTGGCTAATAATAGCCAATTAATAAATATCTGTTGAATGCATGAACGGGGGAATAAATTAGTTAAATGAAATGTGTCTTTGCCAAGGTATTTATGAGATAGGGAATAAAACATGGTGCTCTAGCAACAGTATACACAGAAAAATACTATACCAAGATGGTTCTCAGGAGATAAAAGTCAATATGTCCAAGATAAATCAGTGTGGTGAATAAGAAATGGAACAGTTAAAGACCTGAAGATATTGGAAAATGGCTCTTCTTGAAGTTACATTTAATGTTGCTAAAACGTAGGTGAAAAAAAGGGAAGCTGGAAAGTTGGGAAAGGAATATGTGTATAGAGATATCTAGGTCAAGTGTTGTTAGGTTTATATTCCAACTATAACAAATGGCCACAAACTTAGGGGCTTAAACCAAGTTTATCATTTCTCCTGTCTGAAATATCAGAAATGTGAAGTTTGTCTCACTGAGCCAAATCAAAGTGCCAGCCAGGCTGAATTCCTTAATGGATGCTCTAGAGAGGAATCAGTTACCTTGAATTCCCAGATGCTGGACCTCTCTGTGTATCTTGATCCATAGAACCATTCTTACATCTTCAGAGCCAGCATTTGTAAGTGAGTTGAGTCATTCTTCATGTCTTCAATTTCTTCATATCTTCTGTCTTTACACTTCATTGAATGCCTTTTAGGGAAGGCTGATTAGAATCAGCCTACCCTAAACACCAGATAATCTTCCATTAATCACATGTGCAATGCCTTTGGCCATGTGAGTTCAACACAGAGTCCAAGGATTCTGGATACCTTTGGGAATCATTGTTTATACCATTCTAGAAAAAGTTAGGCTTTGTTACAACAGCAGTCAGCAAATACAAAAGGGCTTTCAGGGGCTAAAGACTTTGTTCAAATGGGAGAGTGCATTCTAGCAAATGTAAAACCCTGAGTTCTAAACCCAGTACTACGTAAGTGTTTTCAGAAGGGAACGGTAACATCATATTTGTATTTCTAAACCATCCTCTGGAAGTGTTATACAAACTAAGAAAAAATGACTAAATTCATCTAGGAAATACAGCAAGTATAGACTAGAGAAGCATCTGGAAGACATGAAGAAGGCAGGATTGTTTGGAGAGTTTCTTTGTAAGATGTTCTGCAACAGGTTTTTATTGTGGATTAAATGTCAGAGATGAGGATGAGGAAATTCAGAATTCGACGAATAACACCTAGATCTCTGACTAGGGTAACTGCATAAATGAAGGAGTGGATTTGAAAGCAAAGGAAAAATAATGATTGCCTTACGGAATATGTTGAGTTCAATAGAGCTCATGAAGATTTCCAAGTACAGATGTCCAGTTAGGAATTATATCCAAAACTTAAAGCTTTAAAATAAATGTCTGGACTAAAAGTTCATCTATGGGATATCATCCACACACACCAAAACTCTGGGTAAAGCATGGCGGAGAGAGAAACAAAGACGATGACAGAAGCTTAATGAAAACACTACACTTGAAGGACTAAAGGAACCTTCTCACAGCAGTAGTGTACTGAGCAGAGAAGAAAGAGGATGTGAAAGAGGTGTCCAGTGTCATTCTGTAAGGAGTGGCCATTGCATCAAATGTTGTAAGAAAGTTGCAGCCAGTAGAAGTCATCAATGACTTCAGCAAAAGCGTTAACAGGAGAGGAAGGTTGAGAAGTGAGCAAGAAGGATGAGTGAGAGATCAGTTGCAGATGATTTGTTCAAGACACTAGGCTAAAAGTAGAGGATTTAGAAATAGTTAAAGATGAGTGGAGGAGATGAAGGCTTAGGCAGGGATGAGAAAGGAGTATAAATATATTAATAGCAATTCCTTTAAGATGTATTATTGTGAGGGGAAGAGGGAGAGGTGTATCTGGGAGAAAATATGATTAGGGAGAGGTATTAACTGTTCATTGATTAAATTGCTGAGTGTCACCGATTTGAACACATTGCATGACAAATGGAGAGGAACTGTTTGGGATGGGGAGTTGAACATGGAGAACGTATTCGGCTGATCAGAGTCCTAAGATGGAAGGACTGGCAAAACCTGGGCATCTCCCTGGTACAAAGACGCTTCAGGGTGCTAGGTCAAGGGAATAAAGTCAGGGTGTTTGTAGGATTCTTGTTTGGGATTTTTTTAGGAGGGGGGTTTCTCTTTTCTGTCAAAGGGATAATTATTCAAGATGCTACTGTGATTAGAAGAAATCTAAATGGTGAGCCAAGAGAGAAAATTCAAAACCAGAAAAATGCCACTGGGTGCCATGTCTGGAATGGGAGGGTAAGCAAAAAATGCCAAAGTATTTGATACTAAAACTAAGAAAACTCACAGTTAAGTGAGTTAAGTGGAATGTGAAGTGGTATGGAGTCCACTTTTACAGAATATATATAGAATCCTGGAAAGGAGAAGCCTAATGTATGAGGCGCTGGGTAATAGGACTGGCTGAGTTGGCTTGCTCAAATCTGCAAGAGAGCCAGGCAGTTGCAGGTTTTGCCAGATTCCCAGGCAAAGGAGATGCACCAAAAAAGAAAAGTGAAATATCATTTCACTGAAAATGTAATAATAATCGCTGTCAAGTATCTGCCAGGACACATTGTTAGTTTTCTTCATCCTCCTATGATTGTTGCTGGGTTAAAAATTAGAGTACAATAAACAAAAAGATGAGTTGAAATACAAAGCAGCATATAATTAGTTGTTAGTTGAGATCTGAGTAAAAGGATCAGTAGCATGATTTGGAAAGAGGAATAGAGGTAAAAGGAAATGGGGTGGTTTGTGAAGACTTTTTGGTTCCCATGATGGTTATTATAAACTGGTATATTTTGTGCTCTTTATGATAGTCCGTCGCCAAAGCAAGAAAATGATTATCCATGGTCTATAGACCCTATCGACTGTAGAATGAGCCCCTGGAGTGAGTGGTCCCTGTGTGATCCTTGCCTCAAACAAAGAGTGAGTATTCATCTCCACTCCTCCCAACCTCCCCAGTGGGAAACTAGATTTCTAATATCTCCAGGAAAATGATGATGCATCCAGGGGCCCTCACAACCAAGAAAGAAAGCTAACTATTGCTATGCTTGTGGGTAACACAATGAACAATGCCAAATGTTATACAGCAGATTGAATGTCATGAGAACTCATTTGTGCAAGAGACTCTAAAAACTTCAACTTTGAATAACTCCCATGGCTGCTTCTGTCACTTCTCTGATAAAACTATGGGTTCATTTGGGGTGTATTTTAGGCACCGTGGGGTAGGAGTGGGGGAAGTTGGCTACAATGGTGTGAGTGTTGTTTTAGATTGCCATCTTTCTTTGACATTCGCCAGCCTAACCTTTCCAGCTGGTTTTGTGCAGTTTCGCTCAAGAAGCATTGAAGTCTTTGGACAATTTAATGGGAAACGTTGCCATGATGCCCTAGGAGATAGACAAGCATGTGTGCCCACTGTGGCTTGCGTGGAAGCCAAGGATGGTTGTGGAAATGACTTTCAATGTGGTACAGGTAATCTTGGCTCTCCAATTGCTCCCTGTGGGCTTCTTGGTGCTAAATACACACACCATCATGTCTCTAGGAACACATTTCCAACTGTCCAGCAAGGGCATCTATCTATTCTATTCTGCAAAGAGATTTAAAATGGGTTTGCCTGATACATTGCCTGCCATGTTAAAGAACATAAGAAAAAGACAACTTATATTTGACATAGTCTCCTTGCTCCTTTTGATCACAGGCAGGTGCATAAAGAGGCGACTTCTGTGTAATGGTGACAATGACTGTGGAGACTTTTCAGACGAGGATTTATGTGACAGTGACCCCCGTCCACCCTGCCGTGACCGAGTGGTAGAGGAGTCTGAGCTGGCACGAACAGCAGGCTTTGGGTTTGTATTTCACTTGGACTTTTTAGGATGAAAATGAGTAGAGAGATAGAAAGGATCTCCAACTCCCTCACTGTCAGAGGCATGAAAGATTTTGTCCCGTGGGTACAGCTTATATGACCTTTGGGTTTAGATCCTCTCTGAATGACATTTGAGCCCAAAACAAATACATGTCTTGGGTTACTTTTTCTAAACTGCTTGGCCTCCGGAGGAGACAAGATGATCAGGGCATTACTTCTCAGTCCAAGTGGATGTGAAATATCTCATGTACAAACCGCAGGAAGACCACAACAACACTGTCATGACATTTTAACATTTGGAATGGAATCATCCACAGTGGGTCTAGAAATTTGATTGGAATACTTGGTTCCCAGGAAGGTCATCACTCAATGGAACTTCCTTTAGATGGATACCCAGAAATCCATATATTTCAGAATGTTTCAGCATTCTGGAATTAACCCAGAAAGAATGGGATCGGAAGAGAAGTGCTGATGCCAGATGGTGGTAGTATTGAGATTCTACTTCTCTCGTTCTCCATATAAAACGTATGGGCTCTAAACAGGTGACTGAGTGTGTGCTTGAGCTCCTGGAGTTTAACACTCAGGACTATACAGGATAGACACTATGCTGCAGTATAGTGCTCTGGAATTGGGAAAATGGCAAAAATGTGAGGCTCTGTTCTATTCTGTTCCATATAGTCATAGTGCATCTCAAGGATGGCCTAAGTAATGCAGTTCTATTTCACCGCCTTTAATGTAATGTGCCTTTTTATTCTTATAGTTTCAGTGCCTACTTTGTGAATTAAATGCTTAGAGGGACACACATAGGTAGATTAAGTAATGAGTAAAAATTTATACATATGGATTTTTAAATAGTGACAACTGACAACAAGTAAGAATAATTAATTTCCTATAATAGCTTCAGAGACAGAACATGGAATGGGGTTGAGGAGAAGAAAGAATATGGAGGAGATGGAAAGAGCAAAGACTGATAGATGAGTTAAGATAGGGGTTCTTAACCAGGGGTGATTCCTCCCCAGGAAACATATGGAAATATCTAGAGACCATATTGATTGTCATAATATGAGGACAGAGGAGTTGGTGCTACTGGCAGGGAGTGAGTAGAGATCAGAGGTGACATTAAACATCCTACAACACACAGGGCATCTGACCCAAAATGCCAGTAGTGCTGAGAAGCTCAATACCAAGGCACTACAAGTTCCAGATATTAAATCTTTGTATCAGGATTTGCTAACATGAAGATGTCTCCCCTCTCTTGGCCAGATGAAACTTGTACTTTTTTTTAAAGTTATAGAAATAGGGTAACTTTGACCATGCCAATTTATAAGTGCATTGTATTGTGATCTATATCACTCCTCTCATCATTTTCCCCATCCCTCCCAACCCCATTCCTCCCGCCAATTTTCATAATTCCAAAGGCTATGCATTGAGTATTATGACTGCATTCTCCACCTCTTCCTCCCTTCATTTTTCTGCTCCCCTCCTTTTAACCTCCTTCCACACTTGTAAAGTATCAGTTTTCTGTCATTTATTTTGTTGGAATTGACTTCATTTTTTTTCCTAAGGAATTATACCACTTGACTTCTCCCCTGAAAATGTTGTACTTCATTTAATACATTTGTGTGCACTTACATACAAACCTACATGTGTTTACTTGTATACTTAGAAATAGATCTCCTTTCCACCTATGAGAGAAAACTTTCTTCTACTTCTTTAATCAAAATAAAAACAAAATTCTAGGATATCAAGCACCTGAAAACAGATAGAGTATTTCATCATACTTAATTCACTTCATAAAGCCTTGTACAAGAAGCATTTAGATATTACCCACAATGCCTTGAGAATTGACTCAAATGGATTTTCCTGGTCCTTGACTTGGGCAGTGCCCCTTACTGAATGGCTACAAGTAGTATGGACTTGTCCAAAACCTGACAACCAAATCACTGCCGGCTTGAATGAGCCACAACTCCTTTTTTGCTTTCTCAGAAAGATATTGTCTGTTTATAGTAAAGCCCATTGCTATTTTATTTTGCTTTATTTGGGGGCCAAGAAAACAATTTTATCTTTAATCGAAACAAAGGAGCTTGAATCAGGGGATTATTTAGTCTCATTCATTGTAAATCTGTATTTCATCCTATAGGAAAAGACTACAAAATTTTTGGCTCACTATGCAGGAAAAAAACAATCATTCATAATCTGTTGGTCTCCTTTGTTGGGAAAAGAAAAATTTGTTAGATAGAATTTGCCAAAGTATTTCCTAATGAGACATCCCAGAATGCTGGCAAGGAATCCTGAGATACCTCAGGCTCTACCGCAGTCAGGGTTGGTGTTGGGGAAGATCCCAGAGCTGAGCCTTCAAGCTAAGAAGAGGGGACCCAGCCACAGAAAAGGGCAGCTGCAGAAGTGACCCTGATAGAATCAATCCATCAACATTTTTTTAAAATTACATGTCCTGTTACTAGAGCAAAAAAGTATGTTACAAATTTAGCCTTCAAAAAGCCCATTGGTCCTTGCACAAAACCTTCTTGCACATCTCATCTCTATAAAGTGTGACAATACTGTGAGGTGGTGGAAGAATGTTTTATATTCATTTTGCCCACAAAATTACACATTCTTTCATTCTCGTTATATTCATTTTGCAAACAATAACTGAATGAGGTCATTGTTTTAATATGTGGAAATGCAGCTAAAACTGTATTTTCCTACCACATTACCTTATCTCTCTCTTTTTTTATGTTTTTTTTTTCTTTTTGTTTATGTGGTGCTGAGGAATCAGAACCCAGGGCCTCATGTACGCAAGGCAAGCGCTCTACCACTGAGCCACCTTCCCAGCCCTACCTTACCTGTCTCTTTAAAACCTTCATCTATATGTCCTACAGACCACTCTAGAGTCCAAAAGTCAGTATGTTATCTACAAAACAAAACTAGTTTTAAATAAATTACACTCCTGAAATAATCATTTATTACCCATATAGGAGTATAAATTCCTCATTGATATTTCAGGAGAACAACATGGAAGGTTGTATTTATTACAACCTTTAAAACTACTGATATTAAATATTTATTACTATAAATCCCCATTGCTTTTATACAGAACTGGGTACTTTATGTGAAGGAATAAACAACCACATCATAGCAATATGCTTTTAAACTGCTCCAGTTCAGTGAATAAACTCAGTGAATCCTATCTGCAACCACATGGAGTCGGATTCTTTTGAATAGGAAAATCCCAAGAGCTTCATGTAATTAACTAATATTTTTATTTAAAGAAATATCTCACACAAAGTAGTATGCCAGGAAGATTCAGTTGTATCACAAATCTTTCAGCCTCTTACAGGCATCTGAAATCCCCCAGACATGTTTAGGGAAACTTTCCAACCCATCTTGCATTCATCATCAAAAAAAAAAAAAAGACAACCCCATAAATCCAAACCAGCTGTAAATGATGTACAATATGCAAGGGATTACTTTTTGTGTGATCTAAGCATAACACCACGTGTGTGAAGGGAGCTCTCTTGCCAGTTTACTTGGCAAACTGGAACTACTTATGGTTCTAGATGCAGGTGTGGAAGCAAGTACGTCTAGGTCATGCCAAAAAGCACACTTTAAAAAAAAACTTCCCAGATGATTACTTTCTGTCCATGAGAAATTTTCCTATTTCTAGGCAGAAAAAAACTTGGCTCACTCAAGGCTAGCCTGGATGTCTCTGTAGGAGTGGAATGGAGTCAAAAGTCTTTGAAACATCTCTTCCTTAGTTGTGCTATAGGCTGTGGATCAGCTTCATTGTTAACTTTCCAGATGAATCCAGCTAAACCATCGATTTGCAGTTCTATACAGTAATAACCTTAGATCGAAGGTATGCTTGCTTTGAGGTATAGAGAACTTCTACAGGGGAAAATACGGTAAGTTTAAAGCAACTGTTTCTCAACTAATAACTTTTAACTAACTACACATTTTCAACCTCTACATGTACTTTTCTTTTCATAAAATTCAAAGACCTAAACTGCATTCAAGTTGCCCATTCTTTCTTCTATTTTGTACATTTCCCTCTATAAGGAAAATCACCTCTGATTTTACTACAGGACTGAAAAGCCAAGACCCATCTCCAAATCTGGGTACTCTGATGCTCTGGAAATTAAACAGTCTCTAATGTTTTTTAATCCTAAATATTGAAAGATGACCTAATCAAGTGGAAGGAGAACATAGCTCATTGTTCGAGTGCTTTCATGACACTAGATAATAATAAATAAACCAATCAGTAAACAAACAAACAAACAAACGCATGTTAGTCAATTGTTGGTTAATAGACCATGAAAATAAAAGAACAGCATCCAATCTTCTTTCACATTGCTTTTATTCTTTAAATTGTAGTACAAGGGCATTATCAGTCAACACAAGTACAGGGCATCGTGGCAAATGTCATCCCTTTCATCATTCTCCTTGTGTGCAATCTTTTTTGCTAAATAACTCAGAAAAATATTAAAAATTTGGTAGTATTTTATGATAAAATTCCTCTATTTGTGCCTACTTATTCCTTTCAATAAAGTTTATCATCATTCATACCTGTAAAAATGGAAAGAAGTAATAGCATTGACACTGAACTCTGGATCATCCTAGATTATTAATATTCATCCCTGAAAGCAGAAACTAAACTGCTAATTTCAATTTAATAGTTAATATTTTTAGCCAGATCCTAGATCTTCAGGCTTAAAGTCTCTTCAGAAAGGTATTTTTGGTGGGCAATGTTAGATAGTTAATTTTATCTGCACTTCAACCTTGAAAAAGATATTGACATATCACTTCTTTTCCTTTAAAGTTGAACCATAATGTTTAGCTTCTTTGTGGATTCACAATTTATTAAATTATACTATTTATATGAACATAGTTTTAAAGCTAATTCTTGACAATAAGATTTTGATTATTTTTCTTACATTATAAATGGGTATTGATAAACCATCTACACTCTAATAACTTTCTCTAGAAGTCAATATCTAGACTTACAATCTATCTCATAAGAGTTAAAAACCTGGTTTAAAGCAATTGATAAACTAATGTTTTTTAAAATATTTTTATTGTAAAAATACTCTACAGAGGGGTTACAGTTACATGAGTAAGGTAATTAGTTTATTTCCTATTAAACTAATGTTTTTGTGTCAAGATAAGTGATAGGTAGAAGATCCATCTTGGTCTGCTTGTTTCAAAACCACTTATTCCACAGATAACCCAGACAGCAATGACTATGTCCTTCAAATTAAGAAAGGCATCCTTCATGAAGAACTACTTCCTGTGCTTGTACTGTTTTGAAACTATAAATCAAACTTAACTTCTTCAGAAAAGTTGAATAAGATTCCTGCTTATGAATTAAAGCTTGCCAAATGGAAGGATTTTACTGGAGTAAAAAGAAAGTAGAATTTTTGTGAATTCCTTACTAAGATGCTGAAATTTTTGTGTTCTTTTGAAAAGCATAATAGGAATCACATAAGCCTGAGGGGAATGAGGTTTTTGAGAAGCTATGAGACAGCTGGAAGAAAAGGTTTAAGTTTAAAGAGAAGGAGGGGAGAGAAAAAGAGTCCCAATGTTGATTCATAGATGAAAAATTACATGCATATGTTTCACTGTCCCCCTGAGATGCTCTATTTTCCAGTAATTGAAATTGTTTGTGTTACAACATTGGCTGTTAGTCCGCTAAGAGAGGGTAGTAAGAGCTATAGCAGTAGAGCTAAGACTCTAGAACTAAGGCACCCTACATATACTACTTACTGCATTTCTTTCTTTATGTTCTCACCCATGCCCTCTTTGCTGAAACATTTGTAAGGCCCTCCTAAGGTACAATTTCTGCCAGCTACAATGAGCTCAACAAACATGTTCCAGTTCTTGATAATTCCCAGAACATTCTGGGTGATGGTGACATGAGACTGTCTCTGGCTACAGTAGGCTACCTTGCCTTAGCTATGACACGTCCATGGCTGACCCTCTTCTGTTCATTCTCAGGATCAACATTTTGGGATTGGATCCCCTAGGCACACCTTTTGACAATGAGTACTACAATGGGCTCTGTGACCGGGTTCGAGATGGAAACACTTTAACATACTACCGGAGACCTTGGAACTTGGCATTTCTGGCATACGAAGTAAGCAAGGCATTATTTCTGCTTTTAGCTAAGGTTAACGGTAGATACAATGGGACATGCACAATAAGAATTTAATATGAACATAAAACTCACTTGAAGAAGAGGAAGTATAGACAGATTGGATCTCTCTATTTTTTTATAGTGAAAACAGGGGTTATACCATGGGGGAAGAACATACAAAAGGAACTAAAAAAATCACATAGTACATTATAAATACATTAAAAACAACAGCAATAAAGATAAAACCTCTGTGTCCCTATCTTGAGGTTCATTTCGTTTAGCATCATCTTATATGGTCATATGTACATAGCTTTTGACCTTTTCTGCTTGTCCCAAACATATACTAGTTGTTGCAAATAAGGGAAACCATGGGACCTATGTTTCTTTGGGTCTGGCTTACTTCACTTAATGTAATTTTTTCCAAGTCTTTCCATTTCCTAACAAATGGGGCAATGTCATTCTTTCTGATGGAGGCTTAGAATTCCATTGTGTATATATGCCACATTTTCTTGATCCATTCATCTACTAAGGGGCATCTGGGTTGGTTCCATATCTTAGCTATGGTAAATAAGGCTGCAATAAACATAGTTATCTGGTGGCTTTAGTATGGCCTTGTTTGTGATTGTTTGGGTAAATGCCCAGAAGTGAGATTGCTGATCTCTTAACAAACACACAGGCCTTCATACCCCCAGTAAGATTTACCTAGGAACAAAGATATGACTAATAGCTGACCTGTCAAAGATTCACCTGAGAGTCTGCAATAACTGAAAATTATGTTTTCACTGATTTCACGTTACCATATTATTTAACTTTTCTTTTTTTGATACCTGCCCCCAGGGAAACCTCTTCTCCCATTGATTTTCCTTCAGTATTTTCATAGGTAGAGGAAACAATGTGTCTATTTTTGCTCACTTCAAGCATCCCTAGACTGGACCTCTCATTCAAAGGGGGTAATACTTACTCCCGTCAGAAATGTCTTCTTTTATCTAAGTAAGAGATAATAAAGAAGAGTAATTAGCTTACTCTGAACCAAGTTATAATATTCTGTTTCTTGAAATGGTCTTGTTAGTTCCTAGCTTCTCTGGTTATTACGATGTTCTTATTGTTGACATCAAACTGAAGCTCCCTTGCTCTGCTGTGGATGTTAAAAACTTTCCAACCTAGACCATTTGATTTAAAATACTTTTTGCAAGTGACAACAGTGTTATATTTTTGTGTATCTAAGTCCAGAATAAAATCAGTTCCCCACAAATCCAAAAGAAATTTTTGAGTGGTAAATATTTCTATACTATGCTTACCTCCTTTAAGCAAAAACCTTTTATGAGATAATAGTTTACCTAAAAATATTTTCTTGAATAGAAAACACCATACATAATAACCCTGGTCATCATTGACAAGACAAAGGTTATTGTTGTGCTGTTGATACTTTATCTTGAGTTCTTAAATCTGAATCTTACAATGCTCCTATCTTCAGCACTCTGACCAGATTCTTAGCTGCTCTATAGAAGTGATCATTGACTGAAAAAACAAAGTGATGATTGTGTGATACACAGAGTGAGAAACTCCCAGGATTGGCCTTGAGTAAGCACCATTCCATCAACCCACAACCCTGGAAATATGCTTCAGCACTTCATAATGTTTTAGATTTTTAGAAAGGGGACATTGGTAATTCTATTACTGTGTTAATAAGAAGTGACAAAAGTAGGCATTCTTATACTGATAATGATCTCACAGGAGAAGATTCTTTTTAACCCTTGAATATGAGGTTCGCTAGGTCTTATTGTCTGTGACTTTATTCTGCTAGACTACTTTTCTTCTGCACCTAAGTTGTTGGAAGTTTTTATTTTTTAATCATAAAAGATATTGATGCTTGTTAAATGTGACCTATGCATACATTTGAATAATTATACATTTTTAATTTTTTATTTCATCAGTGTAAAAAATTACTGACTTGCAAATTTGAGCTAACCTTGCTTCTTAGGAGTAAATCTGGCTGGATAGTGATAATGATCATTTTAATGCATCATTTAATTGAGTCTGTTTGTAATTTACTGAGCATATACATACATTTTCATCATGGATCTCAGCCTATAATTTTCTTTTCTGCTGATGTTCCCCTCTGCTTGATATGAGAGTGATGCTGATTTTATAGAATGAATTTGGAAATATTTCCGTTTCTACTTTTCTTTGGAAAAAGTTTTAAGAAGATAGGTATTGGTTGTTCAAGTGTTTTGCGAAACTTAACAGTAAGGCTTCAGGTTCTTAGAGGATTTTCTTTTGTGGAAAACATGCCACTGCTAATTCAGTCACGTTACTCATTATTTACCTAACAGATTTTCTATTTCTTTCTTATTAAATCTTCATAGATTGCATACTTTTAGGAATTTATTCATCTCCTTTAAGATATCTAATCTGGTGCATAATCCTTTATTTTCCTTAGTTATAATAGCAATGTCCCATTTTTCAGTTTTACTTATTTGAGTCTTTTATTCTTTTTTTTTTTGCATATGGATCTGGTTAAAAATTTGACGATTTTATTTATTTTTTTACAAAATCAGCTCTTAGTGTTCTTTATCTTTTCTATTTTTCTATTTTATTTATTTCTTATCTTTATGATTTTCTTTCTTCCAATGGCTTTAGGCTCAGTTAATTTTTCCCTTTTTAGTTTCTTTAGGTGTAATATTAGGTTATTTGAGATCTCTCTCTTTTTTTTTTGTGGGTCATGGGGCTTGAACTCCAGGCCTGGGTGCTGTCCCTCAGCACTTCAGCTCAAAGCGAGTGCTCTACCACTTGAGTCAGAGTGCCAATTCTAGCTTTCTGGTGGTTTATTGGAGATAAGAGCCTCATGGCCCTTCCTGCCCAGGCTGGCTTTGACCGTGATCCTCAGATCTCAGCCTCCTGAGTAGCTAGTATTACAGTGTGCGCCACCAGAACCCGGCAAGATCTTCTTTTTTTTTTTTTTTTTATTGTGAAAATACTGTACAGAGGGGTTACAATTACATGGGCAAGATAATGAGTACATTTCTTATCAAGCATTGTAGCCTCCTCCTTTGTTTCCCCTTCCCATCCCTTCCCATCCTCCCTCCGCTCCACCACCCAATCCTTCCACCCCCCTTCCCCCCTCGCACCAAAGTTGTAAAGTTCGTTTTCGACATAACACTTGTACATCTCATTGTTGCAATGGGTAAGCAAATCGTTTAAATAGGGATACAGGTGGACCCATTGCAACAAAGATCTTTTGATATAAGCATCTATCACTAAAAACTTCCTTCTTAGAATTGGATTTGTTGGATTCTGTAAGTTTTGACATGTGTTCGCATTGTTACTGATGTTAAGATATTTTTATGTTTTTCTTTTAGTTTATACTCTGAATCTTGATTGTGCAGGAGCATGTGGTTAAATATATATATGTGTGTGTGTGCATATATGTATATATATATATATATGTATATATATATATACATATATATATATGGAATTATAGGGTTCAACTTCTAGATTAGAAAATAAGGATACATCATCAAGGGTTTCTATAAGGATTCAGTGGGATAGATCATTTTCCTTCTTACATTCAAGGTAGGACTTCCCGTTATGCCTGGGCTGGGATCCTCTTCCTTATGCTTTCTCCGGGGATGACAATTGGGTGTCACGGTGATGAGCCATTGTACATCTCTCACAACTGGGATAACAGGCCAACACAGCTACAGTTAGCCACCGTAGCCAGGCACTGATTGAAAGGAAGTCTCATGCCTGGGCTAGCGTTAAACAACAACTTCTTAATCTCTGCCTCTCCCAAGTAGTTAGGTTTATAGTCTTGAGTACCATGCATGGCCATCACTTTCATGCCCCATTTCTATACTCTATTGCCTCTTAAATAATTGATTTTTGTTTGTGTTTAACATACTTCATTATATTCTTTTAGACTAAGGTTGATAAAAACTTCAGGACTGAAAATTATGAAGAAGAGATTGAAATATTCACTACAATCATGCAAGAGAAGATATCAAGTTTCAATGCAAATTTAGCTATAAAATTAACACCCACAGAAGCAAACAAAAATAATGCTGAAGAAACTACTGAAAAGAAAGAGTCCTCAAAGTCTGAACATTTCTCCAGTGATCTGAAATTTTCATATTTCAAAAATGAAACTTACAAACGATTGTGGTCATATTCTTCAAGTAAGGTAAGAGCAAAAAGTAATAAAAAAGACTATCATAAAATATATTTCACACTAACAAGCATGTTCTATAGTAATTTAGAGCAACTTTGTCGCTAGAACAAACACCAGGAAGTAAAAAGAGCAAGGGGAGAAAACTCAGATGGGACCCTAGAGAGTAGATAATAATAAGATGTTTAGTATTAATGAGCAGAGAATGTTTTCCAAGAATTTAATCTGTTCCTTTTGACTAAGCCTGTAGTTAGAGACCATTTAAATCATGCAATCATCCCAATCATCATAAAGAATTAAACTGAGGAATTCTGATTATTTATTGAAGTTACATAATCAACATGTTTCTAGAATCCAAAAAGTTTAGTTCCATGTTCCTATGCAGCAAAATGTACATTTAAAAAGAAATAAATATTTTAAATGCCCTCACAATTATCACATGTTAACTATAGCAATGGTAGGTGAACCTCCAAAGATCCATCTACAAAATCATGCTAAACTTGCAGTTTAGTTTTGGCTTAGAACAAGAAAAGCCATTGAAGTACCAGGTTCACTGCCTTAGTTTTCTCATGGAAATCAAAAGCGTCATCCTTGGCCTTGGCAATATTTAACTGTTGAATTGTGGAGATGAACTTGAGATTCATAGTTTAAAATATTGTTTCATTAAAGTCTAAAAAAAACGTAGGGAAAAAACAGAGCAACTACAGATCTACATTCTTAGTAAAGATGGAGGAGAGTCTTTGTGGGGTTTGGGGTAAATAACTTAATTGATAACTTTCAATCAGTTTCCTCATCTACAAAATAAGAAAAGATTGACTCTTCTATATGTGTACATTTCCTCCTGTTGGCAGTAGTTTCGCATCAACTTAATGAGGTGTATTTTTCTTACAATAAAATGCAAAGACTTTAAATAATATTTCTATGAATTTGATCATTCGATACACCTTCGCAGGCACAAAGATATAGAGCATATCTCTTCAATCAAGATGTAGAACACTTTGACCACACTAAGAGAACTTCATGATTATCATCACTGAATAGATTTCTATGTTCTAGAACTTTATATAAATGGAATCATGCAGTACATATTCCTTTGGGTATCACTTCTGCCACTCAACATATTTCTGATATTCATTTATTTTGTTGTATGTATCAGTTGTTGTTTTTTTTTTATTTTGATTGCTGGCTAGTATGTCATTGTACAGACATGCCATAGTTTATTATGAACTCCTCTGCTGATGGGCATTTGAGCTCTCTCCAGTTTTAAGCTAACTCTGTATAATGTTGCTATAAAGTTCTTCTATGGGTCTTTTCATGGACAGTGTTTTCTCTAATCTTAGGAACTCATGGGTAGATGTGTTTCAGACTATGAGAAACTGCCAAGCAGCCCTCCAGAGAAGTGACACCATTTCCTACTCTGGACCAGTGATGTCTGAGAGTTCCACTTGCTGTGCAGTTCTTAGCAACAATTGACTGTGACCATATTTAGTGGTTAGTCTCTCTAGTGGAAGAAAGTGGTATCTCATGGTCACTACTGAATACTCTATTCCTCTGGAAATAAATGTGCTTTTTAAAAATTTTAATGTTATTGTCAAGGTGATGTACAGAGGGGTTACAGTTACATGTGTAAGGTACTAAGTACATTTCTTCTCAAACTTGTTACCATCTCCCTCATTTTTCTCCTACTTTTCATCCTCCTAATCTGCCCCCAGGTTGGACAGTTCATTTCTAATACATTGTTTTGTGAGTATTGTTGCATTGGTTCATCCTTTGCCCTTTGTCTCTCATCACTCTCTTCTCAACTCCTCTCCAACAAAGGGAAAACAGTTTCTGTATGTGAAAGGAGTTGTTCAGCTGGGAAAATTTTTGATGAGAAATCGCAATGTTGTGTTGACACAAACTTTCCTGGATGATATAGAAGCTCTGCCAACCACCTATGCAAAGGGAGAATACTTCGGGTTTCTGGAAACCTATGGAACCCACTATAGTAGCTCAGGGGCTGTTGGAGGACTCTATGAACTAGTGTATGTGTTGGATAAAGCCTCCATGAAAGAGAAAGGTATGCTTTGAATTGGAATTCTGACTACAAATATTATCTTGACTGAACATCATTCCCTTGTTCACATCTTCCAATATTGAAAGCCTTTAGAACACAGGATCTACATGTCTGCTTGGAAAGAACTTTCAGGTGTCCCTTGTCGCCTAGAACCCTAGCAAATAGCACACTAATATCTGCCTTGAATAAACATAATGACTCAGTAGTATCAGTGATTGCATTACAAGCTAACCTCTGCTAGACGAAGATGTTGCTATGAGTAAAATAATATAAAAGGTGAAAGAAAGCTCAAGAATTACAATTTACACAGCATATTACTTAAACATTAGCCTCATTCAACTTACATATGATGGCTATCCTCCAAATTTTTCAGCATTACAAGGAGAATTTTTATATAATTTTTTTCTTAGGAGAGGAAGAAGTAATATCATATGAATCTTGCTTCTTAAATCAATGATGGAAATTAATTTTAGCTCATATGATGATAGTTGTAATGTGGTGGTAGTTGAAAGAAGTCCATCTTGAGGAGGTTCTGGCAACACTTGATTGTGTGTGTGTGTGTGTGTGTGTGTGTGTGTGTGTGTGTGTGTGTGTGTGTTATCTGAGTGAGTGTACTGGGGCTTTTCTCTGCTTGAGATTAACACTCTACCATTTGAGCCCACAGCTCTACTTCCCATTTTCTGGTGGTTAATTGGAGATAAGAGTCTCGTGATCTTTCCTCCCAGGCTGGCTTTGAACCATGATCCTCAGATCTCAGGCTCATGAGTAGCTAGGATTACAGGCGTGAGCCACCAGCACCTGGGAGCAAAAAGATTCCTTGTGATCAGGAGTTCAAAGCCAGCATAGGCAAAGCAGAAGAGCGTTTGAAACCAAGTTATGCAAAAAGTCTGAGACTCTATCTGAAAGCAAAGATACTGAGAATGTGGATCACATGGTAGATTTCCACCTCCCCCCCCCCCCCCCCCCGCACTTCCCAACCCCCCTCCCCCCCCCTCCCCACCCCTCCCAACCCCTCCCCACCGCTGCCTAGCAAGTAAGAGCCTTTGAGTTCATCCCCAATACTGCCATGCTCTGGAGTTCTGTTACCAGTATGTTTTGCCCTACATGACAGGTAGATACAAAGTGACTTGTTAATATGCTTTAATTATTTATTTTGTGAGTGATTATGATCTTTGCCACTAAACTGACAAGTAAAAGCAAAAGAAATCCTGTAGATTCTTATGCAAAGACAAGACAAAGCAACAGGGCAGACATAAATGTTGTATTTGAATTTAGTCAATAATGATGTCTAGGATCCCTGTAAGTGTATTTGTTACAAAATAGCTAAAACTGGAATTTATTTAGGAGGTTAATAAACATCATCTAATTCCTTTCAAATAAATGCCTAAAACAGGTATTGAAGTAAGTGACATAAAAAGATGTCTTGGGTACAGTCTGGATGTATCTCTCAGTATTCCTGGAGTCTCTGATGGCCTTGAAGTCAAAGGAGCAGTTAACAAGAATGATTGTGTGAAGAGGGGTGAGGGTAAAATCGGTAAGTGTGGCCTAACTTAATAGGTTAATAATGCTGGGGATGGGCTGGGAAGGTGGCTCAATGGTAGAGTGCTTGCCTTTCATGCATGAGGCCTGGGTTGGATTCCTCAGTACCACATAAGCAGAAAAAGCCAGAAGTGGCACTCTGACTCAAAGGCCTTGAGCTGAAGAGTTGAGGGACAGCGCCCAAGCCCAGTTCAGGCCCACAACCAACAAAAATAAATAAATAAATGAATAGTAATTCTGGGGACAGGTATCAAAGGCACTGTCCTCTCCCTTGCGTCCTCCTGCCTTCTCTATATTGTCTACTCTATTTAGAAAAATTAAAATTGCTTAAGGACTGTTTTTAAACTGGACATGGTGGTGCATGCTTGTCATCTCAGCAATAAGAAGGTGGACTCAGAAGGATGACAAGTTCAAGGCCAGCCGGGGACCCATAGCAAGACCTTGTCTCCAAAAACCAACAACAAAGCAAACAAAAGAAGTATATTATCTTTGCAGCAGTTTCTGAACCACACTGAACACAGATATTTGTCCGTGTCACAGATAATACTTTTATATATGATCACACAGGTCATTGGGGGCAGCTCTCAGGGCTGTCATTCACAAGGGGCACATTGTGAATTTATGTTTATTATGCAAATTATATTTATTATGTGTATTTATCATACAGTCTGTATTTGTTTATTCACATATTTATTTTATAGAAGACAAGGAACCTTGTAAAAACGTTTCCTATTCCCTCCTTAATTTTACAAGGGTTTGAATGGCCTGGTGACAGCTTCATGTCTATTAACAAAGGAGACGTACAAAACCATCTCCTCAGCCCAAACATGCTCTGGACCTCATAGCCCTAATCTTTCCTTAATATCAAATTACTGCATAATTTTTTTAAAATTACAAGTTACATAGTCTGTGTGTATACATATGATGACAAACGATGAATTCTCAATATATTTAAATCATCTGTACCCTTTTTTTGTACTTTTGCCAGTCCTGGGGCTTGAACTCAGGACCTGGTAGCTGATTCTAAGCTTTTGTGCTCAAGGCTAGCATTCTATCACTTGAGCCATAGCTCCACTTCCAGCCTTTTGGTTACTTGGTGATGAGAGTCTCATAGTCTTTCTTGCCCAGGCTGGCTTCAAATCACAATCCTTAGATCTCAGCCTCCTGAGTAGCTAGTAGTCACCAGCACCCAGCAACTGCACATATTTTTTGAGACAGCATTTTTTTATGAGCCCAAGCAGATCTGAAAATTATGATCCTCCTATCTCAGCCCAAATGCTGAGATTACAGGGATGTGCCACCACATTATTTTCATATGTATCATTTTTATCTAGAAAAAAGAAGAGATGATTGAAGTCTACAACTGGCTGCTGAGAAAAAGATTTTGGAGAGAAAATTACATAATTAATATTTATAATTAAAATTCAATAAATGTACTAAACTTATACCAAAAATACTCAATATAAGTGTACCAAATGGCATCCTGGTGATAGATCATAGAACTATGAATACATCTGTGAAAGTCTTCCTTCTCTTCTCAGTAAATATCACCCGTGAGAACTTCATTGATGATGTGATTTCCCTCATAAGAGGAGGAACCGGAAAATACGCATTCGAACTGAAGCAAAAGCTTCTCAAAGGAGCCAAGGCCATTGACGTGACTGACTTTGTAAACTGGGCCTCTTCCCTAAGCGATGCTCCCGTGCTCATCAGTCAAAAAGTAAGGAGTATTTTATTCTTAAATAAAAGACCATAATGCTTTCTTGTTAGAGCCACCATTGGTTCGCATGAAGCGTTGGCATCGTGTGAAAGAGATGTGAACCTTCAAATGCGTAGTACAAAGTCGATGCCAAACAATAGTTCACTCCCATCTGCCCTTGCCCTTGGTTCTCCCTTGTTTCCTCTGCATATCACCTGACCGCTTCTAATACAGGAGAACCTCATTGAAGAGGTTTTTTGCTTGGTTTTGTTTTGTTTTTAAGGAATGATCATAAAATTTCTATGAAAGCAAGATGAGACATTCTTATCATGGGGAGTTTACACCTCCTCTTCCTCATTCTCCTTCTTCTCCTCCTCCTCCTCGTCCTTCTCCTCATTCTTTTTTCTTCTTCTTCTTTTTGTCTATCATGGGGCTTGAACTCTGGGCCTGGGTGCTGTCCCTCAGCTCTTCAGCTCAAGGCTAGAACTCTCCTACTTGAGCCACAGCACCACTTCTGGCTTTTTCTGCTTATGTGGTGCTGAGGAATCGAACCCAGGGCTTCATGCATACAAGGCAAGCGCTCTACCACTGAGCCACCTTCCCAGCCCCTCTTGCTCATTATTTAAGGATTAAGCTATGTTTTTCAGGTTGGTCTGAAACTCTTGGGCTTAAGCAATTCTCCTGTCTCAGACTCCTGAGTAGATGGGACAACAGCTGTACCACTTTTCCATCGTAACTGTAGTAGTTTTAAACTTATAAATCCCTTAGAATTCACTTTTGTGCTTATTTCTAAGGGATAAAAACATGTTATCATTGTAAAGAGATGAATACCATTGTTACTTAGCTGCATCTCTCCACACTAACCAAAAATGGTAAATATTTTTCCTTATTTCATCTTTGACCCCTGATATTATTACAAAATGTTTTTTCTTCTACTTCCTTTTGTAGTTTTCAGTTTTCCACATCTGCTTTATAATTTTCTTCCTTTTGGTTAACTTTATTTTTGTATTTCAGTGTGATTAGCCTGAGTTTCAGAAATGCTACTATTGACAGTACCAATAAAACTTTATTTACTCAATCTATTTACAAAGTAAGTGAAGCCACCAAAAACACTCATTTATATGAAGGAAGAGCTCAAAAGACGAAAACTGAATATTCTTTTTTTAGACTATAGAAACACAACCATTTGTATCTGTAAGACTTCAAATATATTCCCAAAGTAGGACACAGAGGGAGAAAACAAATGACCACATTAGTAGGTTTCTATATAAAAATAAACTCAGAAGTTTCCTTTCCCTTATTAAATTTTATTTAAATTCATGACCTTGTTTGGCAGAGCTGGAGATTGAACCAGGGCCCTGAAAATCCAGGGCAAGTGCTCTGAGCTACATTTCCAACCTTTAAATGCATTATCTTGAACACAGTAAGTTAAATCTATGGTGGAAGACTTAACCTAAGGGAAGAATGTTGATTCAGGTAGACATTTACATCTGGATGGACTTCAAAAGCGGCTTATTTTCTCGTCTCTACAAAGCAAACCTAACGGTCCTTGTTCAGATGCATCAAAGACTGTTCTCCAGGGAGGCCATGATAATAGTCCAGAGATGACATTTTCAGTCTCACACAAATAAAGCATAGTTTTAGTTGTAGTAAAAGCTATTCAAAAACTTTATCAACTCAATTGGCACCATCCTGTTAGATGGACTCCCACTCTTAGAAGCAACTGCTTATGCCTCCATGTAGGAAGATAGTCTTCCTATACTATCAGTATAAATTTTCCAAGATGAAAAGCCTGGCCTTTTTCACATCAATGAAATGATGTGAAAAGAAATGAAACGTATAGAGTCCCACAGGCCATTTTTTATATATGGTTGGGAATTACCTCTTCCTCCTCTTCTTCCTCCTCTTCTTCCAGTTTATGAGGATGAAAAATAATGTTGATTTTATCAGCGTTGCATACACTGTTGCATACAGTATAATTATTTTGCATGTCTGAAAGAAATCTAAATGGGCTTAATATCAAGCTATGTCCATTTATTTGTGCTTTAGCAAGTTTTATGATAGATTAAAACCACTGAAAACATATCTACAAATGGTAGAAAAATAAAACTTAGGGAGCATAGGGAACAAAAATATTATTTTCTTAGTAGAAAGCCAAAGTTTATTAGAAAAAGATGTGACTTCCCTAGAAAACTTCAAGAAATGCATTTTAGTTCTCTTTTGTCTAGTTGTGGGATTTTTGCTTCCAGAATTTGAGCCTGCTCTGAAACTGCTGCTACCGGCTGTCCTTCATCTTTATATCTTTGAATATCATTTATGTTTTCTTTTCCCTTTAAATTCTCTTTCCTCTGTAACTCTCTATTCTTGTATCTAAGATTATCTGGCCTTGACTTTCCCTTGAAGGATGAAACAAGATAAATTCCTTTTGTCACAAAATCAAAATTGCTCCACCACACACTTACGATACTCATGTCAATGTAGCAATGTTGGGAAGAAAGTTTCTCCCAAATGAATACAACATGCTTGAAATTAGAATTCTGTATATTCATCTATGAAAACTCCACTAGTGGATACTTGTGCTAACTGTAGATGTTGTTGATGTGTCTGGACATGAGTCCATTCTCTTTTAAAAGTGTCACAAATAACTTTGCCTGTTTAAAGCTTCTTACTCTTTTAATGGTAATTTTTTGCCATCAGTTGCCTTCTTTCATCCTTTTGATTTTGAAGTGTGACCTCCATGAAAGCAGACATCATGACTAATTTTGTTTGATTTGTGTGTGTGTAAGTGTATGAGAGAGAAAGTGAGAGAGAGAATTGAAGTTTGAACTCAGGTACTTGAGCTCTTACTTGGCTTTGTCACTCAAAGCTGATGTTCTACCCTGTGAGTCTCACCTCCACATCTAGCCTTTTCCTGATAAGAGGTTCTCATATTTGTCTGCCTGGGCTGGCTTTGAATGGTGTTCTTCAAATCTCAGCCTCCTGAGTAGCTAGGATTACAGGTGTGGGTCACTAGCTCCTACTGCATCATGACTAATTTTGATGATTAAATGTTCTTAACTGTGAGCATCACATCTGCCAATAGTAAGCATTCAATAAATTTTTGTTGAATTGGTGAATAAATGATGGAAGAAAGAGCATTTTACAAGTGCTTCAGTAGAAAAAAGGTCTACCATGTACTACTTGGCTTTCTTGTAGCTATCTCCTATGTATAATCTGGTTCCTGTGAATATAAAAGATGCACATATAAAGAAACAAAATTTGGAAAGAGCCATTGGAGACTATGTTGATGAATTCAGTCCAACAAAATGCTCCCCCTGCCAAAATGGAGGTACTGTGATCCTGCTAGACGGAGAGTGCGTGTGTTCCTGCCCATCCGCCTTCAAGGGGCTCGCCTGTGAAATCAAGAAGCATCAACTGTCTTAAGGTGAGACCTTATTCTGATGTTATAAAGAACATAAATTATCATGTTGGGCTAGCTGAATATGAAGATGAGTTCTAAAATTGATTTGTAGTAAATTGGATTATCCATATAAGAAGTAAAGATTGAGTAAGTGGTGAAAATGGATAAAGCAGCCTTTATGTGTCATTTTAACATCTTTTACCTTTATATTTCTGAACAGAAGTATGGGAAAGCAAATCAGAACTATTATAATATAGTTATAAAAATGCTTAAAGAAAACATTTAAGAACGTAAATATCCAGCTACTCTAGAATTAAGAAATATCACTGTATAGCTTACATACTTTATGTGGAATTATATCCAATATGTAATGTACAAAGCAGTAGATATAAACATATGTACTTCGCAATTGTCTTATTTTGTTTTGATTTTTTTAGAAAAGCAGTAATAGATCTAACAGAGTACTTTGTATCACATTTCTTCTCCTAGGGGGAAAAAAAAAAGCTAGTTGCAATTCTCTACTTTTTTGTTTTTTGGTCAATTGTGGGTCTTAAACTTTGGGCCTGGGTGCTGTCCCTGAGCTCTTCAAGCTCAAGGCAAGCACTCTGCTACTTGAGCCACAGCGCCACTTCCAGTTTTCTGGTGTTAATTGGAGATAAGACTCTCAGAACTTGTCCTGCTCAGGCTGGCTTTGAACTGCGATCCTTAGATCTCAGCCTCCTGAGTAGCTAGGATTACAGGTGTGAGTCCTCAGCTCCTAGCTGTTTATTCTCTATTTTTAACTTCACTAAACATCTGGCTGAAGAAAACTATGATTCTGCCTTGCATTTTAAAGCAAATTCTCTGGCATCAGTAATTTAGTTTATACAAAGAATGGCTTTAGCTATCTCATACCAAGAGGATCTTGATAGATAAGTGAACTTAACTATCTTATTTAGCCCTAGTCATCTCAAGATTAGTTCATGAGATTTACATTCCAGGGTCATCACAACTCCCATCCCTAGGCAAACACAATTTCTTGTAACAAAATGTCTGAAACACGTAAGTGATTCCCTCAAACAAAGGTTTGAAGCCTCAGATTTATCAATCAATCACATGTTTATTTCTTATGGTAAAATTTTTAGTATTTTTTGTAACTTCCTAGTAAACATGCTTTAAAACTCTGATAAAGGGATAGAATATGGTTTACAATTTAACTTGAACTTCAAAATTATTGGCTTACAAAAATACGTACTAACTCTGTCTCTCATTTAGCTAAGGTGTCAATCAGTCTAGTGTGTGGCATTTCCAAAAGCATCTATACTCTCCCAGAATACCTGTTCTTTGGTTGTCTAGCTTTTTAGATTTTCTTTTTCCTTCTCTATACATGGATGGTTTCTTAGTGATTTGTTCTGTTTGAACGTCTAATTTTTCACTTTTGCGAATCTTTTGAAATTACATTTCTACAATTTCTATTTGGTTCTTTTTCAAGCCTGTTTTTGATGTTGTTTCATACTATTGTTTTCCAAGACAACCGGGTTTTTCTGACTCCTTTGCTTACTTATCTATTTATTTATTTTTGGGGTCGGTCGTGGGACGTGAACTCTGCTGTCTCTCAGCTCTTTAGCTCTAGGCTAGCGTTCTACCACTTGAGCCACAGCGCCACTTCTGGCTTTTTTCTTTTTGCTTATGTGGTGCTGAGGAATCGAACCCAGGGCCTCATGCATGCAAGGCAAGCGCTCTACCACTGAGCCACCTTCCCAGCCCTGACTCTTTTGTTTAGTTAATTGGTTATATTAAATTGTACACAGGGTATTTGTTACCCTGTCAATTCCGTATATTCATTTAATGTACTTCAGTCATATTCACCTTATCTTCAAATGTGTTAAATATATTCATGGGCAAATCTCATTAAAGATTCTCCCAGTACTTATTGTTTCTGTCATGCAATTCTCTTCTAAGTCTATCAACTTGCTATTAGGGTATTTTTTTCTTTAGTACTTAGTAGTTTTTAATTACTAGGTTAGTGATTAGTGGAAATTATTTCTTATGGGAATCTATCTTCCCTAGGTAGTGAAGATATTTCTAGGGTTAACTTGCTTCTTGAGATGTCAGATTCTTTTCATCACTTTTAAATGCAAATTTCCTGGCTCAAATTCTACATTTTGTTTTCCTAAGTAAGAAAATCTTCCCTCCTCCAATATACTTTGCTACTTTTCTTGTGTCTTTTACTGGAATTCTTATACCTAAGTCAGGATGGCCTATCAGTTCCTTGCTGAGAGATTAGACCACAATGAAATCTTTCTTGCTGCACCTTTTTTATTCCCCACAAGGAAGCTCTTCCAGGCATCCATGTTTCTCTAGGAAACACAATAGAGGCTTGTCTCTTATCAATCATGAGACAAAAAACCCCTAACATAATTTCTTTCTATCTCCATATTATTTATTTAGCCTCGAATGATTCTCAATTTGTCTTCTCTTGACTACTCCAGCCTCACTCTTTCTCTTTTAGATCAGTGATCATTAAACTGGCTGTTAGGCTCTGGGTATGATAACACATGCCTATGATTTCAGAGTCTAAAAGGCTGATATAAGACAGTCATAAGTTTTGAGGCCAATCTGGGCTATATGATGAGATCCTGTCTCAAAACAAACAACAAAGAAAAACACTAAGTAAAACAAATGTCCATCTTGAGTCAATTAAACTAGAACTTGTATGGCTTCTTCACCTTGCTTTCTTTTTCTTCTTTCTTCTTCATCCACTAGTTATTATTATCTGTAGCCAGGGTATATAAACAAAGCAAAACCAAAACGACTCCTCTCCTGAATCAAACCAAATAGCTTTTTTCTGATTTCCCCAGGAACTAGCTCTCCATGATGCTTTATGAACACATTAACTCTGCTATACCAACACTCCTTACATTTACCCTACACATGATGAGTATCCACTTCCAGCCTGGAAATACACCTATGATTACATCTTTACCCTCATCATTCTAATCCCAGCACTTTCACAGTACGATAATGTGCGGTAGACAGGATGAAGGAATGAATACCTGGAGGAGAGGATGACCCAAAGTTGAAGTACTCCTAATCATTAACATTTGATAATAATATTTTGTCTTTTTCAGATTCACCAGTCCTTCCTTGTTAAAAAAAAAAAAAATGGAGCCGTGGTTTCTCTGGACCCAGAGAAGGAAAATAATAACAGAAATTTCTATGTTAAATTTCTACCGCTGGACATCATCTTTGCTGGGATGTAAAAAGTGACACACTTGATGAAAATTCTACCAACCTCTGCAATCTTCTCTCTCATAGGTCTACAATGCCTGTTTTTCTCCTCTTAAACTCCTATAATGTTCCCATTTTTTATTCTCTCATGAAAATCAGCAGTAAAATATGCCAGGACTGCTTTTTCCCACAGGCAATGCCAATCTCTTGTTAATAAAACAAAATTAAATTAAAAACAGAACGTTGGTTTAAAAGACTTTAAAGTAATTGCCAGACTGCTTTGTATGATTAATATATTCTGCCAGTTCCATTCCCAAGCCTATGCCATGCAATTTAGCTCTTATTTACATAGTTGTTTCATTTGGTTGTTCATTTATATGTAGATGCATGCATTTGGCAGGTTCTGGCCATGCACAGCACTCTGCCCTCATTAGGTTCAGCTGTCCCACTTAACTCTACATGTCTTGAAAAAAAGTGTGCTGTTTTGGAGCCAAGCATTGTTAGTCTAAATCAATTGCCTCTATTTTACAAATAAAACCCACCCGGAAATTTTGTACCTTCAAATTTAATACCTAGCCACATGAATTGTATAAGGTAAGGCTATTCAAACAAGGAGATGATTAAAACTGGCTGTACTGTCTTATTCATTAGATGTCACAATCTTCAGGACTTGAGGAATTTTGAAAAAGTCTAAGAACTCTAAAAAAAGGAGGGGGAATAAAGAAAGAAAATCATACAGAGAGATATTAAAGGTACAAATAAAAAAAATAAAAGAGAAGATGGAAGAGATAAAAGAAAAAGGGTAGGGATAGAGAGGAAAAGAAAGAATGAATGAATAATGAAAAAGACTCATAAAACAAAAAGGAATATACTAAACCAAATATATATATATATATATGCATATGCATACAATAAATGCCAACAACATGTACCATGTCATCATTCACTGTTATTCTTACAACGTATTTTATGCATCTATAAATCTTGTTAGGTTTTTTTTAGTTCACAGAAATTCTCAAGAATGCATATGGTGACTGAGTTATCACAGTATATAAAATACTCAGACAACAAATTTCAAGAGCAAAATCTAAAAAAATAATTTTCAAGTTTTTAAAAAACAGAAAGATGATCAGACATGAGATCATTTTAATACATATGTGTTATGTGATATGAAAAAGGTCTTTTTAAAAAAATGGAAATGCCAAGACTTTCTGGTTATTAAATTTGCCCAGAGAGCTGAACCGAAGTCTTATCCTCTACCACCAAAATACTGAATGAATTAGAAACCAGATTTTGTAAATGCATATAAATGTGAACTCTGGTATTAATCCACTATTAAGAGAACTTTTTATATAGTAGCCGCAGGATCAAAGGAGAGTCAATAAAGTAACTACTGGGGATTGCTTTTACTCCTATAAATGAGACAGGTCAAAGCAGGAAAGGCAGAATTTGGAGCAACCCTCTAGGAGCAGCTTAGTGGTTTATTAGACTCCTTTCCACTGGTCATGATGGGCATATTCCAGGTATTTTACTTATTTGGAGGGGGTGCACAGGCTGAGGATTGAACCCAGAACCTCCTACTTGCTAGGAAAGCATTCTAATGCTAAGCTGTGCACCTACACACCCACTCCGAGGCTCATTGCTTGTAAAATCCTCCCACTCCTTGGCAAAGGTGATGTATCTGGTAAAGCATTTTTCCAGCAGGGTGCGCCATTGACATGCTAGAAATGACACCTCTGTGATGTATTATAATGCAGAAAAGTCCCTAAATCAAAGGGAGGATCACTAGAAATTGAAAAGGATATGGTTTTCC